AAAAAAAAAACATTTGCGTGTATTCTGTTATTGCTTCTGGTATCGAAACTGTCAAAAACTCCTCTAAATTTTGTCTTCTAAATCAAAGCGGTTGTATGAAATAAAACAATGAATAAAAAATAAATAAAACTGAAATTGGAAAAAATAAAAATTGTTGCAAGTTTAGTAAATTTATTTGCTTCTCGGATCATTTATACATCCTTTGCAAGGCCCAGTAATCAGCGGTTGTGCTGCTGAGTTGGGCGAACGTTCCAAAACGTGCCATTCAATCGCTTGTTTTGTATGGAAAAAGGTTTCACATGGGAATACGTAGATTTTAACAATTTAGAATTTTTGTGAGAAAAATTAAAAATATTTGACACAAATAATAAAAAAATCAAATCAGCTGCTCTACTGATTGCAATACTTTGGGAATTGGGCAAGACCATTTGTATAAAAGTTTGTGTAGTATTATTGGAAATGTTTAAGATTAATTTTCCAAGCTTTTAAATGTAGAAATCTTTTCTGCTTTATGTTTAATCAACTGAATTATCTGACATGACGTTACCTAGCGTTACGTTACGAAAATTTCCATTGAAAAAGTTTTGTTATTATTGTTCTTGAAAGAATTTTGTATGTAAAAAAACATACATTTAATGTAGAATATACTTTTTATTTTGACAACCGGGCCACAAGCGGTTCCATTTTTGGCTAATCTGTGCTTAATTATGTGAAAAAATCAGAGCATAAATAGGGTTTTTCAAAATATGATTATGATATGATATGAAATTAGATTTAGTGAAAAAAATTCAAATACCACTAAAGGATTAGCACGCTACGCCCATGTCTGCCCATAATACACTGAAAAAATTGGGTGGTCATATTTTATTTTTTTTTGTTTTAATTTTTAAAAATAAACCATTTTTTGTAAAGATCATAAGACCAGCATAGCCATTTTGNCCATATTTTATTTTTTTTTTAATTTTAAAAAATAAACCATTTTTTGTAAAGATCATAAGACCAGCATAGCCATTTTGAATCTAGATATGTACTACGGTTTTATTTTTTTAAGTTAGAACTTTTTTTTAGCGGAAAAATGTGATTTTAATGTTGAGAAAATGCGTGACTCTCTTCATTCAAAACCGGAAACATTTGGAATATTTACTAAAGTTTTGTAGTGTTGCCATCTATTTAAAAATTTATTTGGAATTTCGACGTCTTAACGCCATGCGGGTTCACTATTTAGTTAACTTTTCGTAGGTAAGGATTACCTAAAAGAAATAAAATTAACTCAGATCGGTATATGTATATGCCGATATTTTTCGGGCATCGATACTTTCTTTCGATACTACTTCCAAGTGAATGTATCGAAACCTGCAAGGTGTCGTTTCATCGCTCCATACCAAGTTCTAGTACTCTTTCAGAAATATTTCCAGATATATGCAATATGAAAATTCAACAAACAAAATCGGTGGAACCATTTCTGTAGCCTTGCGAACAGGAAAAAATCCTTTCAAAATAAATATGCATATCTATCTGCATATATTTGTATTAGTAAATATACTTGGTTGAGAGTATAAAATACAAATTCATACAGAGCTACTACTTACATATGTACATACATATATTCAAACCCTCCATAAATTATTTTCTTTCTTTTCCATTCCAGCTATTGCAGCACCTTTCGAGTATTTCGATGATCACGACCAACTCTCCTATGACTTGGATACCGAACAGTCAAAAGCTAAATATGATACACGTTTGCTGTCTGAGCAAATGCTGAAGTCGGAGAAATCCACCGAACGTTATGAAAGTGCTGACAGTCACAGTGCTGGTGGTGGGGGAATTGGGGAGAGCGTTGTTGCCAATTCGGAACTGGATGACGACACTGAGACGGAAGCCGATGCGGACGTAGATGATTTGCAACCGCATGAACGTGCGGCATCATGTCACAACAATGGCCACAAATATACACACGGTCAAAAGGTAAGCCACACCAAAGCACACAAGTCCTAACTAAAGCAAACAATCACATGAAAGAGCAGTTTAGCATAGCCTTTCGGAAATTAAAGAAGAAAGAAATTGAAATAAAAGTGGAGCAAGAAGAATTATTTTATTATATACTTATAATTACATGCGTTATGGGGTGGCTAGATCAAATGTTTTATAGTCAATTAAGTTAGCCCTAAGTAGCACACGGATGTACAGATTGGCGCAAATACATGAATTTTGGTACAAATCTTATTAGGTTGTACTTGATGGCGTCAGTAGAAGAAAAAATTGCTTACACCGTTTCGCTCCATTTTCCTAAGCCATATTTTAATTTGAGATAATTAGAAGTTGGATGCAAACTGCAGTTGCGAGACACAATTTTCCTTACAGGGTATGCCGGTTAAGTAAAAGGAATGGAAAATCAGAATACACACGTGTGCAGAGCAGCTCTTCACTTTTGACATGTTTTTGTGGCATATGTTAGCCTGCGAATAGTGACCCCATAATTCATCGTCTTGACTTCTCTAATCCCATATTCCCAAATGTACACAGAAAAACTCAGGTTCGTGGCATTCTAATGTACGTGCATTCATATGTGTGTAGTACATACATACGTACTGTGGTCAGAGCAATGCGGTTGTCACCACCACCACTTTCGGTGCTTAACTTCCCAGCGGCACTTGACTTGCTGAATCACTGATTCGTCGCCACCAGGTTTGGTGAGTGTGTTCTACGCAGTTTCAGGTGGAAAAAATAGATGCTACCTTTGGCAGTTGACATGTTTTAACGGCACATATACAGCTATGGTCAAAGATTTAGCACCAAAATAAACATGTATGAAATCCTTGTGGGCATACATATTTATCATTACACATACATAAGCGCATAACTTCATATACTATAAACAGTGTTGCCGTTTTGATCCATATACTTTAAGAAGATACTTTATTTTTTTGCTCATTTCGCGAGATACTTCAATTTTTCGTGTAGTACAAATTTTGATACATGTTAAATAGAAAATATTAATGTTAGTATGCAGTGGCAGCTTTTAAAATTTGATGGAAGATATTCAAGCGTTTTGGAGTCAAATAACTATGTATAAAGAGCTCACTTCATTAATTTTTAATTTTCTTTATTTGCCTCATAAGTAGCTCTGCTGCTGCAGAGAGTATATTTTCAGATTTAAAATTGATCCACAATGAAGAGAGAAATAGAATTTCATTACAAACTATTGAGAATATGATGAAGCGTATTCATAGTAAAAATAAAGTCGACACTGAAGGCAGTCTCAGCTTTTTGGCATAATTTCGAAGAGTTTAACGTGGAATGTATCACATAATTTGATAATTAACGTAAATGATCGACAGTTCATAATTTTAGGTATGTGCATATATTTGAATTCAAGTTTCTATAAAATCTATACATAATATTTTTGTTCGTCTCTATACAAGATTAAAAACAAGCATCACTTTTTTGATAGATTGTCACAGTATGTAAAATATTTTTCTTTATGTACATACATATGTAGGTGTGTGAATGCGAATTACATGAATTTTCGGTTATTGATAATAATAAAAAGCAAAGATAATGAACCAAATAGCATTTGTTTTAGTTTTTCCTAACTTGATACTTTGATACTTAAATAAAAATTTTGTGATACATTTGATCCATTTTTTGTTTCTTTTACGATACATTTTTTCATGACTATAAATATACATAGATAAGTACGTATATGGGCAAATCTAAAAAACAGGTACACTGTCATAACAAAACGCACCGTGTATACCGCCTATTAAAAACTACATACAAAATTCGTATGCTTTTAATATTTTTTTTGAATAAAAACATCTACATACATGTAACTCAAAATTTATGCAACAACCCAGCAAACATTTGGAGTCATAAATTAGTATTTAAGGAGTCCCATTTCGGAGCCTTTGTGCTCATAATGAGCTCATTTAAGAGTCCGAAATGAGGGTGCTTCCCTTCCTGCGAAGGTCGACCTATATGAGCTTAAATTCATACATCAAATGAGCTTCAATATGAGTCATATTGGACTCTTATTGGCCTCATAAATGCCTACTTTCGGAGTCTCATTGTATGCTGTTCTGTGACTCTTATTGGCTTTATTCTTCAACTCTCTTAATGAACTTACTTTAGAGCCATGTTAGCAAGGAATTCATTTCAAATACTGTTGCATATTTATATACAAACCTCTGCGCANCAATTTCTAGTCGTTACTGTTTTTATACTGGCACAAAGTGCTGGCTCATAACTTGGATCATATATGACTCCTAAAAGATTCATATAAGAGTAAAAAAATGTTTGTTTTTGAAACTCATATTTCTTACTTACCTAGGACTCCAGATGCTTCAATAGGAGACTTCATATCTAAGCTAAGGACTTCCGAACAAAAAGCTTTTTAAAGTGTTGGGCTACAGAAAAAAACTTAACGCAAAGGATAAAGCGCCACGCATAATAACCCACATTAGTGGATAAAAACGAGACAAAGGATATTTGAGTTATAAAAATTTTAAAAAGTAGGAAACTATTTCAGTTAAGATATATGAGCACACATATTGATCCACTTTTTTCTTCACCAGAAAAGAATTGCGAGTCCCAATCGGTACAGAATCTATATATAAATACGCTGTTCATTTGGCGATCCTACCGAATGGATTTCAAAACCAAGAACATCATCGAAAGGTATTTTTCTGTAGATGACGAGAGTTTTTATGGTTTCAAAATTGGTTAAAAATTATGGCCAAAACTGTCGTTTGAAAATTTCCATATTTGTGCATAGTTGTTGTTGCAAAGACATCGACGACAATCGAAGTTTTTAGAATTTTCAAAATATATCGAGTTATCAAAATTTCAAGGTTAAGTGAGTTTACCGGATCATCACTGCTTCTCGAAACTTATCGTGCTACCAGAGCGTAGGGAATCATCGAAATTCGTCGATAGCTTTCAAAAAATATGGAGCTATCAAACTTAACGAAGTTATCGAAATTTATAAAGGTACCGAAAGTATATCGAGATATCGATTTACATCGAGATATGTATATCGAAATGTATCGATCCATGTAAAGGCATAGCTGTCGAATTTTAATGAAATTAGTCGAGATATCGTATTTGGTTGAGTCATCCGATTTTGTTGAGTTGTCGGATTTAAACGTTTTTTAAACCCAATGAGTTATCGAAATTTATCGACAAACTGAAATGCATCGGGTCAAGTCCAAGTGCTGCCAAAGTCCTCCAAAGACCATCAAAGATATAAAACATTGTAGTCACGTTTTAGTTCCAAAGCAAGAGATTTTCCGGTAAGTAATTATGTGCATTATAAGTTAAACGACGTGCTAAGTTAGAAAACCTCTCCAAGATCTCAAAAACACTTGAAAAACGGTCAAATTTCGACAGTAACTGGCACTCCTAGTACCTAATTCGAAATTTTTAAAAAGCGTAGACTTCAATTTTAAGCACCAGCAATAAGAAACTTTAATCTTCTAATAAATAGTTGCCAACAATCCAATTGTCTTTAGAACTCCTTGAGATGCTAGCCGTGCCAGGCAAATTAAATGCTTCATTAAATTTAAATATTTACTTAACTGCTTGTATTATTGCTTCATTTACGCAAACATACACTAGCACATAGACTCGTCGTACAATTGCTAATGTTATGCGATTTAACTAAGGAGCAGTACACTCTCTACTCCATGCCCCGGCGATGTTTTAGTTTAGCGCCTTCCAAGTTATTTGCCCAACTGTTGACATAAGCTTCTTTCAGTAGTAATTCGACCTTAATTAAGCGAGAAATGGACATTGGCCGCAAATTCGAGTAGATACTACGCTGCTATACTAGCTTTGTATACTTCCTCAAAGCTAAGAAATTTAATGACCGCCAGTTATTCGAGATATGGTTGAGTTCAGCTATTAGAGCTCGCCCCACTCAGCTCCTTTCGAGCAATTGGTTTTTATTTTGTGTGAAGTTTATCTGTTGCGTGAGTACTATTAACGTTTATTTTGACACTTTTACAAGTCATTTGTCGATTTTGTGATGCAAAGATTGTTGTGAATTTTAAATTATCTAGGCTAGTTTGTTGTTTGATGACATGGAAGTGTTGGCATTATATTAATGGGGAGGCGAAATTAAAAGCATTTTCTTTTATACAAAAAAGTTTGCCATTTTTCTGGCGGTGGTTGGATGGTGCCACCAGTAAATTTTTAAACAGAGGGGTCGAAGCTTAGTGGAAGGGTCGGTGAAGACGGCTTTTACACGGAGCTCTCCATCAACCTTAAATTTAGGTTTATAAGGCGAAGGTTCCTACTGTTAAGGAAGCTGTCGATTGGCTGCTGTTGAACGCGCTAACGGTAAAAGGTTAAACATTTACTCAGACAGCGTGGCGACAATCAAAGCTTTTGGGCTCATTTATGGTACGCTCGGAGCTCGTTGATGAATGCCTCAGCTCACTTCCGATAGCGTCGCATTATTACCATTTTTGACTTGTGGCTTGGCGGCTGATGAACTGACCAGAGGCGGCACCTTTGTGGCAATATCGCCAAGAAAAGCGACAGTAGGAACTTCCTTGATATCATTCTGGCCGAGGTTGAACCGGAGACGGTCTAGGGAACTCCTCATGCTCGGGAAGCCGGATCTCTCTATTCCGGAAGGTGTACTGACTAGCCCCGGTTCTATTAGGTGCTTGATTTCGTACATTCTGAGTAGTCCGGAAGAGATCTCTAGAACCAACATTTCCGCTTGCAAAACTTCGTTCACGATACACTGTTTCTCACAGATGACCAACGATCGTTCCCTGGTTAAACCGAGCAAATATACCCTGAGCTTCATAAAAATCTGATAACTTTTACCATTTTCCACATAGAGCATATTGCTAAGTTAGAATGAAAAGTTTCTAAGACCATTCTAACAAATTTTACATGATTCGAAACAAGTTTCTTCAACCTAGTGTATGAGAACTTATTTTAGATTGAAATAAAAA